TTAGTATATATATATATATATATAATATTATTAGTTGATTATCGAGAAATATTTTGAGAACCAATTATCCAACCACCAACAAAAATAACTAGTCTCAAATGTTAATATAATCAATAATCAATAATTATTAATTATAATATCATGTCTACTTTTAACTCGTGCAGTCGTGCTTGTAAATTTATAATATACATAATTATATACATTTTTATGAGTATGAGGATATGATTATATGACGCATATGCAGGTATAAATATGTAAATAGTACTAATATATATATTCTTTGTACCTCAATTCTCAATCTTCAATAAAATTATTTAGAATAACTATTGTTAATAATCATTAATCAGTAGTAATCAGTTACTGAGAGTTAGTGTTACCGTTCTTAATTCTTAGGCTATACTAATTGTTATAAGTTCTTTGATGATTTAAGTTATAAAAATATGTGAATTGTAATAATATATGACTAATATTATTTTTCATACATATTTTATAAGAAATATGAGTTTTATTACTATTTATTAGCATCTAGAAGTCAGTAGAGCGCGAGAGCTACGAGTTTGAGCACTACTCATGAATCTCGTTAATTTGAGACCGTTACTTGATTTAAATTAAAATTGAAAATATTTTGTTAGAGTATCAAGCTCTAAGATAAGTCTTTTTTATGCAAATATAATACACTAGTGATAAATACAAAATATTTTTATATTGCTATTTTATAGTATATTTCATGATAAAACCAAATAATTTTCAATTTTCAGGATTTATAATATTGTATAGTTGAATATCTCTAACCTGAGTAATGATATATTCGAGAAAAGTGAGATTAAATCGTTGACACCTAAGACTTAATCACGTCAAGAAAGCCATAAATACCCATTAATATTTTTAGTGATACACCACTCTCCATTGCTTACAAAAATTATGTTACCTGCGTATTGAATACGCAACAAGACACAACACAACTAGTTGAGAATGAAAACCTGCACTTTTGTGAAAGACGAACTATTTACGTTTGAATGAAAAAAAAATGTTATTAAGAATATTATGGGAACGTTCGAGACTCGAGAGACAATCGTCCGAAACGCGAGTAATAGTTACCAGTTAGGCCAAGTCATTATTTAATGATAAATGTGTTGTTTTTTTGATAAAACTCAAATATCTATAACATTTGAAGGTAATATATTTTTTTTTTTATACAATATTAGTGTTACTTCTATCAGTTTACCACAATCATCACAATCATTAGCATTATCATGACGAATTATTAAAAATTGATTCAACAATTACAAAACAAGATTTGTTTTATAAATTATCTAGGTATCAAAAAGATTAACAATTATAACCGTCATAGATTCAATAAAATAAGACTGTAGTACTAAATTTTTGTCATCAGTAAGTATTTTAATAAATCAATTAAGTAAGCTAATATTCTCTTAAACACGATTTAGTAATTTACAATTATTGAGCTATTAACTATTAAGTTAATAATTTTTTTATGGAATCATATGAATAGTAAGTATTTATAAGTATAATTATTGTATCATAATTAAATGTATTTATAAATGGCATTCAATTAGCTGATCGGACTAATAAAAAACTTTTAGGTATAAAGTATAAATAATGGAATATAATATATGAGTATAATATTATAATTTAACAAAAGGTAAAAATGTATCAGTAATCTGATAAGACGTTAACAATGCGTTAGTTAGTTGGTTACGAAGTAATAAAAACCTTACACTATGTTGACGAGCCATGGTAAGTATCATAGTTTATGAATTTATGATGTTATTTCATAATATTTATTACAGTAATTATTTACCTTATGTTTCAATAAAAATATATATTTAAGAATGTATATTTTTGTGGTTACATTAATATAATTATATAAATATTAAATCATACCTATATTGGTTATACTTATTATTTATTTTAATTTAAAATGTTTCCATATATTATATTATTATGTTCGTGGTTATGATGGCACTTTCACTGGATAATAACTAATGTTGTCTTTGTCAACACCATTTAGTGACTCAGTGACATTATTCGGGTTAATCACGTTGTGTCTTAAGAACTATCTTGAATCGTAACCACAAATGGACGGCACTACGGCAGGAATCCAAATTACATTAATATGTATTAATTCGATTTTACAATTATTCGGTGGTATTAATAAGGATAGTTTTAGAGTCTATTATGCCGTTGCCGCGCCCATATACAATTTGTGTATGCATAATAAATATTGTGATACGCATGCATTCATAAATTATAATACAAATTATGGTTATTAAGCTAGTGTACGATAATGTGTACGATGTCGGGCTATGGAGACCAGTGGCATATTATTTATGTTGAGAGATGGGGTCAACCGCGTTTAAATTACCCCTCCTTCTGCGATAACCATTTTGCTAGACATTTTAAGTCCTATTTACTTTACGTAAAAGTTGTAAAAATATTTACTCTATATATATAATACTATTTTAGTGAAAATAATTAAACAGAATAGAGTAGTATACGTGACTTAAAGACTTGTTATTTTTTATACTTATATAATTTTATTAAAATATATTTTATGGCTAATTTATTTCATAGTTTCCTTATTAAATATTTTTAAATAGAATTTGGTATAGATAAAATGTACCTATAATAATAGATTTATTCTACCCGCGATTGCACCGTCACTCACTCGGTAGTGATTCATAGCATTGTTGTTTATGCGACTGTAAGTCGGGAAATCGATGACGCGCAGACTTTTATCAAAGAAACGTCCGAAAATATAGGGTTGTCGTCGAGTATCTGCCTATTTTTCTTTCATTTCCTTCTTATGGCTATAATTATAATGACACATAATATATATTAAAATCTCTTTGTAGTTTGTACCTAGATAGTAGGTATAGGTACGTACTTTGTATCCTCCATTTTCTCTATTCTCCTATTTTCCTATCTATGAAGAATGAATGACGTTAGTACGTCCTTTAATCATGATTATATACGTGATATATATATATATATATATATTACTACACTTGAAATACTCCGAGTACCAACATATTATATGACAGTATATTATTACGCGAATAATATTAAATATAATCAAAATAATACTTGAATTTCTTATGATGACAAATATCTTCGTTCGCCTAGACGCCTAGTTATATTTAATATGTCCAATGTCCATATGTACGTGTGTATATTATGAAACACAAATATTTTTAAAATTTTCAATAATTAAGTACGTAATATATAGTAGGTACCTATATTATTCTGTAGTGCTATGTTTTTTTAAGTTTTATTGTAAACCTTTCGAAAATTTGTCTATAGTGTAATTTAAATCACTATAATAAGTACAGGCAATAAGTATATAATATAATAATATTATGTGTTACACGAAATTACAAGCATAAAGGTATATAACGCGAGCTAATTAAAAAAATACAGGTTTAATATAGGTACGAATGTAAGATAATATGAAAATATACGATTAAAATATAATATGAAGCGGCGTTTACGCTGTTAAATTTATACTAACAGATATAATAAAATATGTAAAATAATACTTTTTAAAGACGAACAAAATATACTATGTTTCTAGATATTTTTTCCTCTGATATTTTAACTACGATAATGATTAAATACATTTTTATTAATGAAATGAAATATTTATTTTTTTATTTTTGTCACCGTAATTTTAACTTACATAAATATAATTTGCATCGAAATTAATATTTAAGTCAATTAAAAACAAATAACTCAACAAGTTAAAATACGACGAATGACTTGGTCATAGACCTGTCAACATTTTATAACTAGTGAATTCAAAAACTGAACAATCAATAGTGAATTGATTTATTTCAATTATTTTGATAACGTGGAGAGTTGTGCACAATATTAAGTAAAAAAGAAAACGAAAATGTATTTGAACACTAGCTATAGCAAGATTGTGACAATCGTTTAAATATAGTATTTTCTTGTTTACACATTACAGTGATAATATTGTTTTTGAATTTGTTGTAATTTATAATTATCGATAATTCGATTTCTAACGCAATTAATAATTATACGAGTTTATAAGTGCACATTTCATGAAAACGAAACAATTATAATTCTGAAGTGTGATGAGTTGTTTGCATGAAATAGAATTAATATTTCGCGAATAACAGCAAGTTTAAAAGTGGCTATTTTGTTTGATAATGACTCAAATTATCATTTAATATAATTAATAAATTAATAGGTAGGTACATTATAAACATTATGGTTTTGAAATAATATTAAATTATCATCTAACAAATACAAATAAAACAATTATAAATTCTTTGAATTTAGTAAGCTATTGTCAAGTCCAAAAGTGGCTTAGAAACAATAATATTATATTATATACTATATAGTAATTATATTTTCTCTCATACGTGTACTATTATATATTATCTACCAATGATAATCAATCCTATATCCGGTGGTGAAATTCCGAACAGGTTATTTTACATTTTCATAAGACAGTCAGGAATATTATATACAGCGATTCAAAATTTATGTAAGTAATTTTATCATATAAATAATAGAGAAAATTTTTTAACATAAACGTTTTTTTTATTTAGAAATATCAACGAGTAAATGTTTATTAATTTTTATATTTATTTACAATATTTTATGAGAGAGGATATGAAATCAACTTTAAAAATTTAATTGGGAACTTATATTTTTTTGCAATCATAATGCGAAGAATTTTTTTTTGAGTATTTCAATGTATACAATTCGAAATTTGGACGAGTAGCTTATAAGTATTTAAAGTTTAGGCGATCAAAATTTTGTGGAGTATCCCAGGGGCGTGCTCACGGGGGGGGTTTAGGGGGTTCAAACCCCCCCCTTGGCACTTGACAAATATATAATATGTATTAACAATTTACATATAGAAAATTATAATTATTATATTTTTCAATTTTAGAGTTTTTTTTTTTTATAAATTGATTATGTATAATTTTCTCCTTGTCAGACATAATAATAGTTCAGGTATCATTGTGCATTATTTTGTTACCAATTTAACATATTACCGCAACCAATGTTCCTGTTTTCTATGTAACCCGTCGTGATTGTACAACATATACATTTTATATAATTATAAAAACATATTATTAGTGATGGGAATAATCGAATGATTAGTAATCGAAAAAAAAAAAAATCGAATAATCGAATGATTAGTAGTCGAAAAAAAATCGAATAATCAAATGAGTAATAACCTAACGATTTCATTCGAATGAATTATTATTAACATTTACAATTTACATTGCTAGAACCGATTATAATGTTTGTCGCTTATATAAATAATCGAATGATAATCTATAAGAGAAAAATACTGAAATATCGAATATGCAACATTCAAAACTATTTATAGCTTTCGAGTATTGACTAATGTTAGTTATAAATTATAATTATACTTTTTGATATCTTACATGATAGTAATACACGGTAGTTCCTAATTTAGTACGCATCGACTGGAATCTAAATGTAAAACAAATTAAAATAAACAAACAAATATATTCTTAGTATGGTCTGTTATTATTTAATATATTTTATTGTTCAATCGTGAATTTGATAGGCGTCGAGTTACACGTTTGTATTATATGTGTTCGTATTTTGAGTTTAGTGTTTTGAAATTGTTTAATTTAAAATTAAAATGTCAAATAAAAAGATAACGAACTTTTTTAAAACTACATCCACGAGTGTCAGTGTTACTGCGAGTACTGCATCCGATTCACTTAAACGGAAACACGAATTGGAAACGGAAGATAGTCAAATTATCGGTAACCAGGTAAGGTAATAATTTTAAGATTTTTGACTTAAAACTGGTAGGTATACGCCATATTAAAGTCCTAATTTTTTGGCCTTTGCACGCTATTAAATTACATTATTCTTTAGCATGGAGTATAATATGTGCATGAAGATGAAGTGTATGGCTGTCTAACATGTTTACATGTAGTTAATTATAATAATTTAATATTTATCAATATTCATTATTATGAATTACGATCAACATAACTATAAACATTGATTATAAATACTAGTATGCTTAATATTTGGCATTATTTTTATTTTATTTAAGTTGGAAAATGTTGTACATCTTACTCAAAAAAATGATATTGGCTTGTTTCTTAATCGCTGCTTATCTGATCATGAAAAAAACATAGTAAGTATTCTGCTAAATGCTATTTCCTAGCATACACTGCATCAACAATTATATTTTTAGGTATTAACAAATTTATGGTCACCTCAAGCAAATTACTTGTTTCCATTGCTTAATAATAATGCCAAGAGAAATATCAAATTTCAGCAACGTTGGCTAGATAAATTTAATTGGTTATCTTATTCCGAAAAACTGGAAGGTGCTTTTTGCAAATACTGCGTAGTTTTTGCCAAATCTGGTGGTAAAGGATCTCAAGCTTTAGGAAGTCTTGTGACACATGCTTTTCAAAATTGGAAAAAAGCTTTAGAAGTAAATAAACTTATTAATATTAATAATAATTATTAATAAAAACAAGAAAATTTAATAATTCTCAACTTCTTGACATATCATATTATGATTTATTTCTAATATATTTATTAAAATTATATACAATAATAAATAGGTATTTGAAAAACACTCAAAACATGAATATCATACCTTGTCTTTATTAAAAAGTGAACAGTTCTTAAAATCATTTTCAAGTGGCCAACCAAGCATAATTGATATTTTGGATACAGAAAGGTAAACAAATTTTGGGGTTTATACTTCTTTTTAATACCTTGAGAAAAGTTTTTAATGGCTGAATTTGGTTTTATAATTTTACATTTAGAATGAAACAAAAAAAAGAAAATAGATTAAATCTTCTTCCAATTATCGAATGTGTCATGCTTTGTGGAAGGCAAGAACTTGCTTTACGTGGACATAAAGATGCTGGTCCAATTTGTTTTAAAAGTGATATTAAATTTTAAAATATTAATTACAATTAACAATGTTACTAATAGCCATGTTGTATTTTCATTGTTTTATAGCTGAATCTGAACCTTATATTAATGAAGGTAATTTCCGTGCCATTTTGAAGTATAAGGCTAAAGATCTGAATCATTTAAAACATTTTTTGGAATCTGATGGCCGATACAAGTACACAAGTGCAAAAATCCAAAATGAAATTATTTCATCTGCTGGAGATATTTTATTAGAGAAAATTGTCAAAGAGGTCAATTCTGCCAAATGCTTTTCAGTTTTAGCAGATGAAACGACTGACATTTCAGTCAAAGAACAATTAGCGTTGTGTGTTAGATATGTTGTTGGTTCTGATGAAAATGTATTTGTTTGTGAACGCTTTTTAAAATATATAGAAATTCATAGTCTGACAGGAAAAGACATTGCATCAACTATTGTGAATGGTAATTGACGAATATTGTATTTATTATAAATAAATTAGATTTTTATTAATTATTTGTTGTTATACAGGGCTTAATTCATGTGGAATAGACTGCAGTAACATGTATGGACAAGGTTATGACGGTGCTTCTAATATGTCGGGGCGTTTTAAAGGTACTCAAAAAATTGTGAGGGAAACATGTCCTAAGGCCTTGTATGTTCATTGCGCAGCACACTCGTTGAATTTAGCTGTATCTACAAGTTGTGATATTCAAGCAATACGAAATTCTTTGGGTTTGGTTGAAAAAATGTACTGCTTTTTAAATACACCCAAACGCAAAAATGTCTTGTTAAGTGTTATTAACGAAAGTGACATGGATACAAGATCAAAATCTATTAAACATCTTTGTGCAACAAGATGGGTGGAAAGATATACAGCAATAAATGATTTTGTAGAATTATTTCCTTATGTAATTCAAACATTAGAAAAAATATGCGAGTGGAATGACACAACTTCGACTGATGCCAACATTTTAATGAAAGCAATGGACTCAGAATTTTTAATTTCACTTCAAGTTATTAAAGTAAATATTATATTTTATTGTCATGCATTTGTATAAAATATAAACAATAATTTTTAGCCATAATGAACATTTTTTGTTGTTTCATTAGGTTTTATTTTCATATGGTTTACCATTATGTAAACTTTTGCAAAAAGTCAATCTTGACTTAAAAGAAGCAGTAGATCTTGCTGAAGTTACTGTTGCTACTATTCAACGTTTACGTGGAAATATAACTGAAGAGTTTAAACAACTGTTTAAAGAAGCTGAGGTAATAATAATCAAATATAATATTATATGATATATTTTTTAATTTAATTAATGAAAATAATATTACTATAGAAAATGGCTAATATATTAGATATTACCATATCGATCAAATGTTTGAGTAAAAAATGCACAAAACGAGCCAACCCTAGTATTAATGACCCTGAAGAATATTATAGAGTTACAATAGCTATACCATATATTGATTCATTTATACAGCAGTTAAATGAGCGCTTTTTATGTCACAAAAATGTACTTAAAGGTTAGTACCTAACTAAATTTATTTTTTATTGAATTATACTAATTTTGGAAAATTGTTTCTAGGATTTCAATGTTTGTTTTCTGGTACATACTCAGACGATTTTGATGAACTTCTTCAGTTTTATCTTGACACTGATAAACAAATTGTTAAAGCAGAATTAAATCTGTGGCATGCAGTACTTAACAACAATGGACAACACCCTAAAAGTGGGTTGGAAGCATTAAGGCTATGCAAGAAGGAAATGTTTCCGAATCTTCATTTCTTAGTTCAAATACTATGTAGTTTACCAGTGTCCACAGCTACCCCAGAACGAACGTTTTCATGTCTAAAAAGATTGAAAACTTATTTAAGAAACACAATGACAGAAGTGATTTTCTCAATCTCAAACTTAATATTTAAAATGATACAAGATTAAAATTACAATTTGTTTTCAGACACGACTTAATGGACTGACAATGTTGGCTGTTCACACTGATATACCACTTTCAGCTGAAGAAGTCCTTGACGAACTTGCAAAAAAACCCCGTAAACTAGACTTTGTTTTATAATTTTTAAATATAGTTTTTACATTTGATTACATAATGATTTGTTATAAATATTCATTGATTAAAATATTATATTAAAAAAAAGGTGAACCCCCCCCATTCAAAATTCCTGAGCACGCCACTGGAGTATCCCCATACAACTCCACTAATATAAATTTTAAATACTTTTAACTCATAAACTATTTATCCAAATATTGATTATTATGTAATTAAATACTCCGGAAAAAAAAATTGCATTACGATTGCAAAAAAAGTATAGGTTACAATTTCAATTTTTAAAGTTCCCCCCCCCCCAACCTCCTAAAATATTATAAAAAATATATAAGAAAATTACTAATTGTTTTATATATTTCTCAATAAAAAGAAGTTTCGTATAAAAAATATTTTATATTTATATGATTAAAGATTAAAGTGGAGGATCGCAGGAGGCGCCTACCTTTAATTATGATTAAAAAGCGTCCCTTTAAACAAATTATTCTTAAGGTACGCCAGAACGCTTCAATTATAATCAAACATTAGTCAATATAATTTAGAATTCTGTTGAGATTAAATCTTGGTTTTTTTTTTTAATTTTTACTTTATTTTTATTAAATGTATTTAATACAAATTATAGATTATCTAATATGTGTATAAAAATAATTAATAGGTATTCAATTAGCCGATAACATAATGCTATTATGTAAAATTGAGCTTTATATATTGATACAAAATATTTATAGATAGGTAAGATGTGAATGTATGATTTTTTTAAACATGCTCACCCCACCATATATAGAATTTGAATTTTTTCTTGTACAATTTAAAACACTAAAAACACTTTATTTTTACGATATAAATATTTTTTGTCTGGGCAGTTTCTTAAGTTTTTTCAAAAGACAACCTAATTACAAATTAATATTAACAGAAAAATATTTTCTTTCAAAATATTAAATTTATCTAAAATATTAGTTGTTCTTAAAATTATATTAATTGTAATTTAAATTTTTCGTGGAATAAATTACAAATTCGAATATAATTCTGAGTTAAAAATGGGATGAGTATGTTACACGATCACTGTTTATACATTACATATTTTATGTTGTGCATTAGATATTATACATTAAATTATATACATATCACATATGGAACGCTTAAAACTATATGACGAATTAGCCCCCCTTGGAATTTTTTCTCACTTCAAGCCTTGTAGATGATAAAATGGCTATAACAAATATTTTGAATCACTTTTATATATACAGTATACACTGTACTCTACTTGAGTAAACTTAAACTAAAATGGTTGTACAACTAATTACTGTTAATAATCATAGCATTTTCTCATTTACAATATTATTGACTATTATATATTTATATGTATGATATTATATAGATAAATCATTAAGTGTCGAATACAATTTCATAAAAAATAAAAATTAATAACTGCCTAATAAACGAAAACATCAATAGTTGGATTTTAAATTTTAAATTTCTATATTTTTGTAAACGGGGATTGTATTCAAATATTTAATATATACAAGTATTATCTATAAATCTAGTACCGTATAAGAACTTTTTGTTACATAATTTTTTTTTTTTTTACACAATTATAGTAGGGGCATAATTTAATAATAGATTGTAATTTACATTCCCGAAAGAAAATTTATAAATAAACCGGTCTTGTAAATACACTTTTTGATTTTTAACAGTAAAATTTCAGCGAGAAATCAATAATATATTAAAAATAACAACCAATATTATAATTAAATTTTTACATTAAAAGAACATGCAGCTCAAAAAATGTATACAATTTGAAAAAAAACGGATATACCTAATGTGAGTTGTACTTGAAATTATATAGAAATATTGAAAATTATTTTATATATAAGACCGAGCTCCAAGAAATGAGCACGAATATAATTTGTTGGAATATAAAAAATATTCTATGAATATAACTACTATATTATACCTAATTATAAATAAATAACATATTTTTTTATTTTTTATAACATATTTAAGCAGGGTTGGAGTTATAATAAGTTGCTTTTATTAGTTATTTAAAATGTAATAAAATATTAAGTTAACTTAAAAAAAAAAAAATGTATACACAAAATATATTTAAAATGATTAAATAGTTATTATTGATATATAAAGCAATAACACTTGAGGTTTCAGGAGGTTGGGCAAAATGGTAAAACTAACGTTATAGCCTGATGATGTACTCGAAATATTAAATTAATAAATAAAATAATAAACAAAGTAATTATTTTAAAGGTAAACACTTATTTTATCGGTAAGTATAAATGTATATACACTTTTTTTGAATATTCTTCTCGCATAATTTTGAGTTATTATCAAATAACATAAAAAAAATTGAAAATTTCATTTATATAACATTAACTTAAAAAGAGTTAATACATTTTAAAAACTAAACCATGTATAGAAAATACTAATATTTACCACCCACTTAAAAAAAAAATCAGTAGATGGTCCTTAAAGAAAAAAATATTGGTACAAATACAAAATTAAGCAACATATTTTAAAATAAAATTAAGACAGTCATTGCTATATTTTTATAATTTATTGCCTTCCTTATAGCTTCGATTGATCCCCCACCCTCAGAGAGCTCTAGCGTCTTTAAAAAGGCGATAACGCCCACTTTAAAAAACATTGACTTAAGTTAATAATTCCCAAAAACAAATTACACGCATTCCACCATACGATACTGTACTATAATATATTATGCAGTTATTTAACATATAATATTATATGATAATTTTTCTTAATTTTCAACAAATTTAAAATTAATATACCAATAATTATTTATTTGTTTTAATATTATCACATTAACCAATATAGTTAAAAATTTGAAAGCGTTGAGCATTATTTACAGAAAATTATTTACAAAAACTATCAAACAAAATGTAATTATTTAGAAAATGATATGAAGTTTAAGGAGTTTTATGGCAGAGTTATTAACTTATGTAAACTATTACAATATACCATAGTAAACTCTACTTCTCACAACATTAAATATTTGAAACTCGATGTTTACCTATGAAAGTTTAAAAAAAAATATTTAGTTTTAGAAAATATTGCAGTGACTGTTATTAAAAAAGTAAAACCATAAAAAATTGTTGCAAGAAGTATATTTTTGAAAAAATATATTGTGTGCATTTAGTATAGCCATTATATACAATAATATTGTACGTAAAACTTAAAAAAATAAAAAATAAAAATACTTAAGGAATAAAACTGATTTAGTAAAAATAATAACATTTTTTGAATTTCTTTGGAATTATTAAAAACAATTACAAAACTTTTTTATCATCACAAATCTTTTTGTATATTTTAAAAACTTTATTCCAACTCTAAACTATATTAATATTTATTTTTTACATTTTGTTCTTTAAATATTTTAAAATAAAATATCTATGAATAATATGGTTATTTTGTAACCTACATAATTTATTCGTAACAACTGTGACAACATTTAGACTATTGGCCGAAAATAAATTAAATAATTACATTTTATAATTGCTTGTTAAATTATTCAACAATATTAAATACATAGTACTACTGAATTATTTACAAGGTTTAATTTAAAATACCTAAATCCGGTATTTGATATTCCATAACGTTTATATACATAAATAGTATATTATATATATACCTACCACAGTTTTTAAACTTAAAAACCTTTTAGTGGTTTAAAAAAAATATTTATGAATAATTTTAAATATTTTAGATAAAAGTTGGTACGTTAATACATCTTTTATCCCTGAATTATACGAAGTTTTTATTATATATTAAAGTAGGTATAAACAATACACTTTAATAATACCGCATTTCATAGATATACGTGAACTTATGTCTCAAAAGTATTTATATTATTTAAGTATTATTGAGTCTTAGGTAATACCTACTTAATTTTACTATAATAGTATAGTACTGCTTAATTCTTAAAACCATATTTTAAGCAATAAAAATAACTATAATATTATTACTATCTGTTGTATTGTAAAGAATACTTAGATTAAAATAGATAGGTATTCAGCTCTTACCTAACAAGTCACAGTAAAAATATAATTATTATATATATATATATTAAGTAAATCTTTTAAATATAAAGATATTTTTCGTCTAACATTCTTAACAAGACAACCGGAGTCAAATTACTATGTAAAATACGTACTTTTGGGAATTACCTTCATTATTAGAGTTATGAAATATTGCGGTAATTTAAAAAAATAAATAAATAAATTACTATGAAACTTTTTTGTTGATATATAGAAACCCGATACCATATATGATCTGATGTTAAAAAATTTCACTCCTTACAAGTTTATTTTAATGTATATAAATACACACATATTTATGTACATATTTTAATGAATAAATCATAAATTGTAGTGAAAAACTTCCAAATTATAACTATTTGTTCACAATTTATAGTACAGTGGGAATTGAGTGTATCTCGGCGTTGAGTAAGCACTGTAATTGATGCAATAAATTTAAATTTAAAGATAAATCATTTCTAAGTTGGTAAAAGCGAAGATGCTCTACATTAATAAGAATATTTTATGATATAATTTTTAATGTTCTATTTAAGTTATTTATTTTACTATTACTATTATAATAAGTTGATTTAGTTTTTTAATTATTATTATTTTTTTATAGTTTCTTTGAAATATTTTTAGAATTATAGTCAATTTTATATATATATATATATATAAATTAGTAAATAATAACAACTTATGAGAAACTCTGTATTAAATTTTTGAATCTAAGATATAAATATTTTAGGAATTTTTAATTGTAAAATAATCGACAAGTACTTGGATTTTTAATGGAATTAATCAAAGTTCTATCTTCAAACGCTCATAAAAAGATATTGAGAATTTACACAAATTTTTTTCAATTTCAGCGTTTGAAACTTATAAGGAACATTATATTTTATTTTCTAACATTTTTGATTGATTGAGAAAGAAAAATATTGATACTTATAGAAAATCATCTAAACAAATACAGTTTAAGTCTTAGAAGCTAAGATTATCAAAC